CTGTCAGGCAATTCTGGGGTGCCCGACCTACCCTTCGGTCCTAACGACCGAACTTGGGGACTACTCTCCCCCTACTAACACTATCACATATAACATATAACATATCATGCTAGCACATAAACATATCAGGTAGTAGCAACCCTAGATGAATGTCACAAAGATAATCATCTAACATACAACTCCTATTGGTGGGCCGACATTGTGGCCGTAGACCCACCGCTACTGAAAGGTAACTCACCTCAAACGAGTAGCTGCTGATAATCTGTGCGGGGAATCCCTGACTGCTGCTGCTCCGAAAATCCTCCGGCTATAATCCCCACAAAACACTTAATCAGAATCTGATATCTACCCCTTAGGGTAAAATGACTATTTTACCCCAGACCAAGTCCAAGTCAAAGTCAAAGTCAACTTCCAGTTGACCCGACTCGCCGAGTTGGGTCGTCAACTCGTCGAGTCCCTATTTCTTTAACTGTCCTCATTCACGTCCCTACTCGTCGAGTTTAGCAACGACTCGACGAGTTCTCCTTCTAACACAACCTCGGATGAACCTTCTTCCGACTCGCCGAGCGGTATGAACACTCGTCGAGTCCATCTTCATCCTAAGAACACGTCATGTCCTCGACTCGCCGAGTTGTATGAACAACTCGTCGAGTTCATCTTCAAGAATTGGGAGATTTCCTTGGACTCGCCGAGTCTGCTCGTGCACTCGTCGAGTCCTATGAACTCCAGGACTATGGCTTATCCCAATACGTTTGGGTCACTCCCTTAGACCCTCTAAAACCTTTCTTTCACTCAACTGGTTCCCATGAACCATAACAGAAAAAGGGGAGTCTAACCTTGTACTCGCCGAGTCCCAAGAACGACTCGCCGAGTCGATGCAGTCCAAGTCTTATTTCTTCGATTTCTGGAGTGCAACTCTTGTCCAAATGATAGATCTAGGTCCCTAAACTCAATCTAGCACGTAAAGTTACAAACTTTACGTGCATGCATGGGACTTTGAGCCTAAAATGCCCAAAAAGAAGCTCTTAAGATGCATGGGACCTTCCATGGGTGCAAAAGCAACCCCTAATTGCCTTGTGACCCTTCCATGGACCTAGATCCGAAGCTTCAACCCCCAACCATGCTTGCAATCATGGTTGGTTACCAAGAATGGCTTATAAAAGCCCTAAATCTCCCCAAAAAGGGATCTAACAAAATAACAAGCAAGGTATAGACTTTATACCTTCTGAGAACAGCAAATGATGCACCAAACTCGAATCCTTCAGTCTCCTCTTGATCCTTCTATGCTTTTCCTTCTTCCTTGTGATCAAAATCCACAAAATCACTCAAAAGCCTTGAATCTTGCACCAAAACACTTAGGGTTTGCTAGGGAGGGTTTCTGGGAGCAATAGGGACGAGTGGGGGCTGAATGAGATGATTAAATAGGGTGCAAACCCTCAGATTAGGGTTTTTGTCCAGACAGGGCCTACTCGTCGAGTCCAGGATCCGACTCGACGAGTCCCATACTTAAACCCCGTGTTCTATCCCGCTTCTACTCGGCGAGTTGGGCCATCAACTCGCCGAGTCCCAGGCCAAAAATGTAAAATTACATAAATGAAATACATACCAGGAACCAGGTGCTACATATACTACTATAACAATAACATGCTAACAAGTTTACGATAGTCGTATAGATACAAAATAATTATATCCCGATTAACGAACATACTATCATATAAATATAGTATTAACTTGTATTCAATATTTAGCATGCGTTTTCCCCCGAAAATATTAAAAATTGGGGCCGTGAAACTCACCTTAGTAGCGTGATTTTATGTAATCTAAGCAGAAACGGTCAGCGGTACGAGGTCGTCGGGCTCGAGATGCAAGAGGGCTTCAGCAAATGAGAGAGAGAGAGAGAGAAGAAATTCAGGTGTAAGGAAAGAGAAGGCCGGACTTGCTATTTATAGGAAGATTTTTGGCCCTCACGACGTGAGAAACTCATTGTTCACGTCGTGAGTTTGGAACTTATCTCTTCGTAGACTTGTCATCCGTCTTTTAGCTTCCGAAGGTGGCCATATGACTCCTCACGTCGTGAAATATCATTGTTTACGCCGTAAGCTTAGAGATTATCCCTTCGTAGCCTCGTCACGCATCTTCTAGGTCCGAAATGTGGCAATTTGAATCCTCACGTAGTGAGTTTCTATGCTCACGTCGTGAGTTCAGTCGGACTAGGGTTTCTGACCGTTGTATCTTCGGAAGGTCGTAACTTTCGCATACGAACTCCGTTTTTGACGTTCTTTATATCCACGCGTAGGTATTTACGAGTACTACAACTCTCTTTTAGACTTAAATAGCTAATTATAAGTCTATTTTAAATTCCTCTTATTATAGAGATTTATAGTGTTCGGTTATCATAACTTCTTCACGCGAAGTTAGATTCAGACGTTCTCTATATTTTTGGAATCGTATGGACGTATACTTTGAGTTGTATCATAAATAAAGTTCATATTTGTATTAGAATTTATCATGAATTACATAGTAAGTTTGTCACATTACTAGTTTAACAAAATCACATTACATGATTGCCATAATCACATGTGATTGTTATTGACCTAATTTTGACGGGTGTTACACAATGGGACCCAATAACCATTTTAATCCATTAAAACCCAACAAGAACATGCATGGACCATATATAAGCATCAAGCAAGCATTTTTATGAACTTATAACCTTAGAACTGCTAAGAGTGGCAACTCCAAGCTCTTGGAGTGGTGTCCAACCACTAGATCTTGCTCATGATGTCAAAATGGAACCAAAACCCACATAATCTTAGATCTCAACTTCTAATGAGCAAGGTAAGAACTTTTTACCTTTAAAGAGTTGGAAATGGAGCAAAGAGTCGAGATCTACAAGCCTTCCCTTGAACCACCACCTTGCACCAAGCTTCATCTTCTTGAATAACCACCAAAACCCACCAAAGAAGCACAAAAAGAGCTCACAACACTCTTGAATGAGGCTAGGGTTTGAGATTTGGGTTGGAGGGCAATGGAGGATGAAAGAGGGGCTAACACCTGAGACTTAAGGTGTTTAGATAGTGACCCAACCTTAAAATTTAGGGTTTTGGGATCCTGCACACTACGTTGGGCGTACTGCTCAAACACCCGCGTCCGCTTTTCCAATATTACGCTGGGCGTACTCACGCGCATGCCATCTTGCATGCATGGAACCGGGATGCAAGCCTTTTCCATCAAGGGCCAATTTTGCCAATATATTCAAAATATCATAACTCCCTCATCCTAGGTTCGTTTCCAACGAACCTTATATCCACGAAAATGTGGCGAGAAGCCCTACGCTCCTAACAACAGACCCAAACCTTAAAACCTCCCGAACAAAACCAAAAACCCAAAAAGATCGAGATATCACATTATGATTATACCATTGGCCTCCAAAGACACAATCGAGCACTTGGATCACTTATACTATGCCACCCACATCCGAAAATGGACCAAATCCTTCCCTTCCCAAGGCCCTAAGCCTTATGACAATTGATGATTGGGCCGCAGCCCCGAGCAATGAAGCAAATCCAGAACCGAGTGTTACATGGACATAACTTATTCAGGAAGTCATCATTAACAATCTTATTTAAAGGAATAAAATCATCTGGAATGATTTCATATTCCAAGCCAATGTCTTCAAACATAAGGTCTGTTTCAAAAGGTTCTTTATCCTCAACCTGGATTACAGAACTAGTTTCATCACTACCTGAATCGAACAAGTCCTCTAAACCATCCCATGTATGGTCTAGATATATGGATATTGGGATTTCTAGGTCTTCATAAGCTATATCTATAAAGTGGGCATAATCCAATTTGTTTTCTATGAACATAATGCCAGTCGCTAAAGGACGATTACGTAAAAGAGTAACATAATTTCTCAAGCTTCACTCCAATAAAATCATTTTAGGAAAGTCATACATCCAGCCAAGTCCATTCCAACAAAACTGACACTAGTAAACAAGTAATGCTCACCTCCAACATAAGAACACAAGTGGCACACCAAAATGCCATTAAAGTTAAGACCGACTTTCAAATAAATAACATTATCATTAGGGTTTTCCATGCAGTTCAGATGATGTACAAGAAGAAGAAAATAAGCAACAACAAGAGAAAGCTTACTCTAATCGGAGACAAGATCCTCTTACAAAAAGCCTAACGTATCGCCGATGTTCTTCGCTTTGAACTTCACTTCGTCGTTTTGTCTCATTTAAGAGGATATCAACCACCACTATCCTTTTTAAACACCCAAACACATGTGGAAAAGCTGACTAGGATAGTCAACAGTAGACAATAGGAAGTCAAAGGCCACGTCATCGATACAGATGGTAGCTAAAATAGAAATTGACTTATTTAACTGTTTATTTTTGACTTTGACTTTAATGGTCTATGACAAAAACCATTTTCTATAAGAACTATTTTTAGGTAATTTTCTTTTAACTTTAGATGTCGCTAGTTTTGTTAAAAGAGATTTTGCCGTGTATAGACATTTTTTGGGGTTGAATTCCAAAAAATAGACACAAAAAACTGAATATATAGGTATAGACATGGATTCCGAAGATGTGAGCTCCGAGGCTTCCACAAAATTATCTGTAGCTCCGAGGAATCGATGTGACAAAAAAAAAAAAAAAAACTAAAGCAATTCATCAGAGGGAGCTCTGCAGAATTGTTGTTTAGTGTTCATTCCTCGGAAGGAGTTCTGCGAAATTGTTCTTCAATTTTTTTTTATGACGCATCGATTCCTCGGAGGGAGCTCCGCGTAACTGTTCTTCAAATTTTTTTGAAGAATCGATTCTTCAGAGCTACAGTTAATTCCGCAAAGCCCGAACTATTCTTCAATATTTTTTTGAAGGATCGATTTTTTCGGAGCTACGGTTAATTCCGCAAAATTGTGTCTATTTCTTATTCAATCTCAAAATATATCCTACAAAATATCCCTTGTTAAAATATCCTCGTGATAATTTATAATTTTATACAGACAGATGGAGACTTGTTAGGGAGCGACTGTGACTGATATCTCCCAACTCCCAAGAGTCCAAGCACATGAGCGAAACATGATCCATAACTTCTGTGCAATTTTGACTCCGTAACATTTTTCTATCCTGACATATATACAAGTCTCCGAGAAACCGATCACCTTCAACTTGTAGAGAGATGGATGAAAAATATGCAGAGCTGAGGCTAGCGGTTGAAACGGCGGAGCTCGTTGACGCCCACGCTCACAACATCGTACCACTTGATTCTACAATTCCGTTCCTCAGTTGTTTCTCCGAAGCTTCCGGCAAGGCATTATCCTTTGTTCCTTCTACCCTTAACTTCAAGGTCAACACCTCTTTCTTTCTACACATTTCTTTAGTTGCTAAATTTGAACACGATCCGTTTATTTCGATTTGTTAACTAAATCGAGTCAATTTTGTATGTTCCCCTATTCTGGAATATTCTCTTTCTTTAGATTAGTTTTAAATTTTCAGTTTAAAAAATCTCATTTCTATGTTTCTTCAAAGTTGCAATGTTTGCACTTTGATTCGGTAAATCGATAGATAACGCAGATAGGTAAGTTTTCTTTGAAGTTTGACAAGAAAAGGAAATATTCAAAGTTTTAAATACCTTCCAAAATGAAAATCGTTAGAAACTGTAATAAATGTTCGTTTTAGATGACATTTATTTCTATGAAATAAGTTCAGGAATTACAATTATGCATTCTTCGTTATTTGACAAAAACTAAATAATAAATACACTCATCTGGGTCCAAAACATCCCTTTAATTTTTTGGGCTGGTATTATTAATATTTGGTGGATAATCAATCATATATTAACTTTAGGCCCAATTTTTTATTTATTGACAATGCACTCTCAATAAAGTGTTGTCATGTTCATAAAAATATATGAGAAAACGAGGGCACATTTGGTGAATTGAAAAGGTAAAACAAATAAGGTTAAGATTAAAATGTCAGGACTTTATGGAAAGTCTCCTTTCTTTTAACTTTAGATACTAAAATTACGTAAAAAATAAGACCTATATAAATTTCAATTTTCATGACATGGAAGCAGCATAATAACTATAATGAGGTGGGGGAATAATACAACTTGAAAGGCCTATATAAATTTTAATTGAAAAAGCAAATTTGGATACGAAATTAGAGAAGTTCATGAATGGAAAACATTTCAAATAGAGTTTGCTTTATTGTATTTTTTTTCCCATAAGTTTGTTTGGATAAATATTGTTGAAAAAGTATCTTATTATAAGCCTTAAATTGTTGCTACGGATAACTTCAATCATGGGTTTACGTTGAATTTGACAGAGAAGCCTGAGGGATATTGCTGAATTATATGGCTCTGAGTTATCTATTGAAGGAATCCAAGAATATAGAAATTCCAATGGAATTGAATCAATCAGCAAAACGTGCTTCACAGCTGCAGGAATCTCTAGTGTACTAATAGATGATGGATTTGAGTTAGAAAAGATGCTACACATTGAACAACATAAAAATATTGTACCATTTGTTGGTAGAATACTGAGGATTGAGCATCTAGCTGAACAAATCCTTGATGAAGTAAGATTGCCATGTTCTTACAAATTACAATTTTTTAGTTTCTTTAGTCTTTTAAGGGTTAAATGCACGAAAACTTTCATTGATTTGTTTACAAAGCCATTCTGCTTTCATTTCTTCCTATATCAACATTGTAGCAATCTTAACTGACTACAAAGCAATTTGAATGTTATATCGGGTAGATTTTGCAAAGTACAATGTCCTAATTAGAAACAATTCGGACGTATAGTGCTGTAATTGGGTGGATTTTGAAAGTACAATGCCTTAATAAGAACAAAACTTAAAAAGTACAATGTTATAATAGAAAGAAATGAAAATAGGATGCTATAATAAACAAATGAATAGAAGTACGTTGCCAGGAAAAAATCAATACATCTTATTTTTACTAAACGACAATCCTTCCTTTCATATTATATATTAATTCTTTTTTTTCAGGGAATCAGAAATGGGAAGAGTTGGACAGTAAATACATTTACCGATATTTTCTTATCAAGATTAAAATCATATCCTTTTGTGTTTTTTACAAAACTAGAGTTTTAGGTTTCTTTTGGTATAATATAAAGATAAGAGTCTATTAGTTCCTTATCATTGTGTTGTTAACATTTGGTGCCAAAGATGTGGTGAAAGTTTTTGGTCTAAAAAGTATAGCTGCATATCGAAGTGGTCTTGAAATTAATCCAAATGTCACCACAAAAGAGTTTGAGGATGCTCTTGCTGAAGTTTTGCTTGGTGAGTGTAATTAGATCTCGTTTGCTACATGAACAAGATAGCCTAAGCTTTCTTGGACTATTTTTGATAAGGATGAGGGCATTTACGTCTTTTACATAAAAAAGAGACTTAGAGGGAAAGTCCCTGTCCCATCTTTTTTCGGTGGGACAAAAAGTTGTAAATTTTGTCCCATTGACATCGGTCCCAGTCCCAGTTGCAGTTGCAGTCATAGTCAGAGTCAGAGTTAGGACAACATGACACTCAGTATTGTACTACCAATTGAAAGTCTGTTATCTGACAATGAATTTGTGTTTCCAGATGGAAATCCTGTTCGCATCACAAACAAAAATTTTATTGATTATATCTTCGTGCGTAGTTTGGAGGTGGCCCTGAGTTTTGACTGGCCTATTCAGATACACACAGGGTAAAACACTAAATTGCTTAAACATTTTTCACTTTAGAAAATATAAAAACAGTTTTGGAGAAAATATTTATTGTGATATTAGTATTTCTTGACTGATTAAAATGTATTGATTTTTTTGGTAGCTTTGGAGACAAAGATTTGGATTTGAGGCAGGCTAATCCCCTTCATCTTCGGAATCTTCTAGAAGATCCTAGATTCTTGGATTCTCGAATAGTGCTGTTACATGCATCCTACCCGTTTTCAAGAGAAGCATCACATTTGGCATCCATATATCATCAGGTCAAAATTTTAAAATGAAAGGATAAATTAGTGATCCTAATTCTGATATCAAAATATGAGTTTATAAAAGAAGTGGTATAATTGATTTCAGGTTTACCTTGATTTTGGTTTGGCAATTCCAAAGCTTAGTGTCCATGGCATGATATCAACAGTGAAAGAACTTTTAGAGTTAGCGCCAATAAAAAAGGTGATAATGAGATTTTTCTTACATTTAAAATATTTATTTCCATTTCCATTTCTATTTCTTGTATTTGTTTTAAGTCCGTCTTTAATATGTGTCATTTGATTAAACTCATTTTTTTATGTTGGACCAAAATGGTATATGCAGGTGATGTTCAGCACCGATGGATGTGCATTTCCTGAAACATTTTACTTAGGTTCGTTAAGCCTGGACTATAATTGATTGTTTATTTATTTATTTCGTGCATATATAATGAGGGTATTTTGGTCTTCTAATTTAAATAAAAAAAACGGAACTGAATTCCTCCCACCCTCCCATAGGAATAGTGAAATCCATGCTTGATGAACTTTGAAGGATTCTGACACAATTGAATTATGTCCATCTGACAACCAAAAATGCCATGGAATGGAATCTTGAATTCCAATTCCACCTGATTTTGCGAATATAACAACAGGAATTTAAAAGAGATGTTGGCATGACAGGTGCAAAGAGGGCACGAGAAGTTGTTTTCTCTGTTCTACACGATGCATGCAATGAGGGTGATCTCTCGATTCCTGAAGCTCTTGAAGCTGTTACTGATATCTTTTCTGAAAATTCAAAAAACTTCTACAAGATTGATAGTGATGCCACATCTAGGGTTCCTAGACATGTTTCTGACACCTTAAAAAAGTCCAATAATCAGGAGCTTAACTCTACACAACAAGAAATTGTGCTTGTTCGTGTTTTATGGATAGATGCTTCCGGACAACACCGATGTCGTGTAAGTGATTTTATTTTTCCTACACTCACTTTTTTCACTATCTTGAGACATTTGTTGTGTTACTGTTACATTGTTTTCAAAATGTACTTACATTTCTTTTAGTGATAATAGCAAAATATACTTTCTGTTTTACCTATAATAATAACATGTACTTACATTTCATACTGATACAGGCATCATACTTTATTTGTTTGATATTTCTATTATTGGTAAATAATTGTAACTACATTGCTATTATGGATAATAATTATAAGTACATTGCTATTAGGTGTAAAGAAAATAATAATACATTGCTAGTATGGGTAAAGCTAAAGTATATTACCTATATCAGTAAAAGGAGTAATGTACATTGCTACTTCCTACAATTTGCTCTTTCTGAAGTTGTTGTATGAAAATACAACAAATAGCTGAATGTTTTTGCTAGTGATTGCTTGATGTACTCTGAGATTACATTTCTACACAAATTTTTAAATGCCAAAACTGCTGAACAACTCGAGATTCTCTGAATATAAAGCTAACATTATATTGCTGCTGTTATGTTCCCTTATTTACAACTTCCTAAAATTTCGATTTTTTTCCTATTGTCAATACACTTTGCAGTATTTGATTATAGAAATCTACATTGCAGCTGTTATCTTTACTGTAAACTGAAAGACATAATTGTATAAGAATACTATCAGATTAGTCCATTAAGTGCTGTCTGGATAATGATGTTCTTTTTACAAATATTGGAAAAAATAAGGGCACAATTGGGGAAATGGATGGAAAAAGTTTGTAAACTGTTATGAATTTCAGAGAAAGCCTGCTTTCCCTGAAAAAGGACCACTTGTATATAAGTTAATGGAATAAGTCAAAAAAAGAAAAGAACACCATAATCTTGCTCTGCAATGGTCTTTTTCATGTAATCAATCAATCTAAAAGCCTTTGACTTTGTAATTTGTATGGTCTCAGGTTGTTCCACGAATTCGATTTGATAATTTTGTGAAGGAGAATGGATTAGGTCTAACATGTGCCTCCATGGCCATGAGTTCAGCAATGGATGGTCCAGCTGAAGACACCAATCTCACAGGAACCGGTGAAATCAGACTCATGCCTGATTTGTCAACTAGACGTAGAATCCCATGGTAAAATCATATCATTTTTTTTTTTTTTTTAATGTTTAATAATGTGAAACAAACAGTAATTCCTGATCACTATTCACTACAGGGTGATGCAGGAAGAGATGGTTTTGGCTGACATGCACTTAAAACCTGGCCATGTCTGGGAGTATTGCCCAAGAGAAACACTAAGAAGAGTTTCAAAACTTCTCAAACAAGAATTTAACTTGGTATAATCAAATAATTTGCCTTTTAAATATCCGTGCTTCATTTTCATACATTGAAATAGGATGCTGGTTTGGTACTTACCCTTTAAATGCCTTTTATTATTCAGGTAATGAATGCTGGATTTGAAAACGAATTCTATCTATTAAAGAGTCATGTTAGGTATTTATTATGCATGCAGTTTTCTTCTACATTTTATCTTATAATTTTTATAAATTCTCTAAACAAACTACACAGGAATGGTGAAGAAGAATGGGTTCCATTTGACACGTCACGTTACTGTTCAACATCTGCATATGATGCTGCTTCACCTATATTACATGAAATTGTTAATTCACTAGACTCATTAAATATTGATGTAGAACAGGTAATCAACTCAAATTACATAATGCATGCATCTATTTGAGACCTTTGTGATTTACTAATCTGATTCTGATGTTTAATTATTATTATTATTTTTTGATTCTATAGCTACATCCAGAGGCTGGAAACGGTCAATTTGAAATTGCATTACGTTACACAACTTGTACAAATGCTGCAGATAATTTGATTTATGCACGTGAAGTTGTTAGAGCTGTTGCAAGGAAGCATGGGTTGCTTGCTACTTTTATGCCAAAGTACGTATTTTCTTTTTCTTTCTTGATGATGAAAAATATAATTAAGGCTATGTTTGTTACAAATGACATGACTTGACATATTATGCTTTATTAAATTGTCGTGAATTTAGGTACAATTTAGATGACATTGGGTCTGGTTCACATGTGCATATTAGTTTGTCTGAAAATGGACATAATGTATTTGCTGCATCTGATGGATCCTCAAAACATGGAATGTCTAAAATTGGACAAGAGTTTATGGCTGGTGTTCTACATCATCTTCCTTCACTTCTAGCTTTTACAGCACCAATCCCAAACAGGTAACAAGTTTTATTTTTTTACTATTGTTGATAATATGAAGAGTGTGTAAGAACATTAGGGCTACTGCAAGAAATAGCAACTAACTTTCATTGATTTGTTTTTGTTAGTTGTTATAGCATATTCTAGTTTTTTATTTTATTCCTATTACTTCATTGTAATTTGTTTTCAAAAATTTACCCAACTTTAGCAATGATATCCAAATTCAAGGACATACAATTTTCCAAAGTATAATGTACTAATAGGAAAAAGTTTGAGAGTAGAATGCTATAATTGGGTATGTTTTTCCAGAGTACAATGTCCTTATAAGAAAAAAAAAATGAAAACACGAGTAACAGTAGAAATGATACTAGGATGCTATAATAGTAGAAACTTACCCAATTATAGGCATCAGTGTCCTTGATAACTTTTTCTTAGAGTAAATTACACGAATGGTCCCTATGGTTTGGGGTAATTTGCGTGTTTGGTCCCTAACTTATTTTTTTAACTTGAAAAGTCCATGTTGTTTGTTTTTGTTACGCGCTTGGTCCCTGCTGTTTGTTTTTGTTACGCTCTTGGTCCCTGTCTTTACCTAAAAAGACTATTATTTAAATAGGGAAAATGGTGGGGTAGGTAAGGTAAGGTGAGGGGGGTGGGGTCGGGGGTGTATTTATTAAATAAATTAAAAAATCAAGGGCAAAATGGTCTTTTTAGGTAAGATAGGGACCAAGCACGTAACAAAAACAAACAGTAGGGACCTTCCGAGTTAAAACAAAAAAAGTTAGGGACCAAACGTGCAAATTACCCTAAACCATAGGGACCATTCGTGTAATTTACTCTTTTTCTTATTACTATACTTTGTAAATTGTAATTGTCCTTGGAATTTTGATAAAACATTACTAGAAGTGGGATGATTTTTCAAAAGTACAATGCATATAGAAGTTGAATTGTAGCAAACAAATCAATTCTACTAATTCTTGAATTAAAAGAAACAAGAACCAGAAGCCTCTAATCCCAATTTCAAACTATCATATTTATAATTGTACGTAGTTACGACCGTATACAACCCAATATGTGGAGTGGGGCCTACCTTTGTTGGGGTAAAGAGAACCGAGAGGCTCCTTTGAGAACCGCATGTCCACCTGGTGTTCCAGATGGCATTGTGAGCAATTTTGAAATCAAAGCATTGGATGGATGTGCAAATCCCTATCTTGCCCTTGCTGCTGTTCTTGCTTCTGGAATCCATGGTCTTCGCACACATCTCTCTCTCCCGGATCCAATTGGTAAACACTCTTCTAATGTTCTTCCATAAATTAATAATAATAATCAAGTTAAATT